TTTGCACTCCATACAGCAAAACAAATTTCAAAGGGAATAAAGTATCCTTAAACAGTCCTTATCCACAGATCTGATTGGTTATGCTTTTCCAAGGATGGAATAGTGAACACACTTTGAGTCAGTAAAGTACAAGAAGTATCTCTTGGACTCTTCCCAAATGGAGGTTCTAGCAAGCTTAAAAATCCATTGCCCCGTCCAGTCTACCTCCATCTTTGTCTAAAAGGATTAAGTACCCATAAAAGACAGGCTAGGTAATGGGTAAGAATTATTAAACTTTTCCAGTATTAACCATACTCTAGTGAAATATTCTTTTCCTGGAACTATTTTTGCTGTTGCTATTGCCATTTATCATTGCATAGCACCCTTTTGCTTATATTGTTAAGTACAGTGTGTCAAGTTTTGCTATTAGTTTTTCCAGTGTTCTTAAGTTTTCCCCCACTGCTGGTTCTTCTCCCTCTTCTATCCTCATATATATCCATTTTATTTTTCTTCTGCTGTTAATTCTTGCCACTAAGTTTTTGTTCCTTCTGGAAATACTATTCCTTGGTGTTCTCCCAGTCTTTGTGGATTTTCCCAACCAAAAGTTTTTAATGATCCCACTGTTCCTGAAAGATACTGGTATACATCCTTAAATTATGGTCTGCAAATGCATTTGATTAAAATAACCACATTTTCCTAAATTACTCCTGTTTGGAGAAATACCAGGTGGCCTGGCATAGAGCTAATTGGAGTCACTGACCACATCCCAGCTAACAAAAGCAACTACATTTCATGCCAAATACATGCACATCTTATGTTCCTTTTTGTCTAGTGTTGAACATACTGCATTCTTGGCCCTGTAAATTACCTCAGCTTTAGAAAACATCAGAAATTTAGCTGGGGAATAGTATATTATTGCTGACTTCCTCAAACTGACACAAGGGACACCCTATCTCATTATCTGGATGTGAGGTATAGAAGTAAATGCAGAGAGGAAGACAGTTTCTTGGCTAGCTGAGGAAGTCTGAATTACCAGGCAGAGACTATTTATGTATCTGTAACACGTCAAATGAAATATTGTGACTTTTACTACCCATTGAAAAATATTTGCTGTTCTCCCTGATAATTCCCCAAATTGTGTCACAGCAAAGAAAACAGTTTTACCACATTTCTATTTTTCTTGTGAGCAGCATTCTGTATGTGAGTCCATTCTATGGTAACTCAGTTCTGCTCAAGGCGTCATCTTCCAACTCTTAAATGCAGGCATGCATATTTTTATATATAGGTTATATTTTTATCTAAATAAAAAATACATTGCTCATAAAAACCTTTTTCCTAGGGTAATTACTCAGAGATGCTTTCACAAACAACGTGCTACCTCAGCTTCTACACCACTGATCTTACAGACTGCGTATACATTACAGGCTGAGGATTGCAGGTTTTCACACACACACACCCCCAAACTGTCAAAAAGGACATTGTATAAAAATCTGGTCTGAAGAAAGCTATGTAAGACTATTTTAAACTAGTCAAGGACTTCTATCCTGAACAAGTCTTGGAGGATTTTAATAGCACAAACATTGACAGAGGAAATGGCCAAAATTTGGCATGATTTCATAGCTGAAGAAATTAAGTTTTGGAAGAGAATTCCACCTAGAAAGATATGACTCAAGCAAGCTATAAAGAGACTGCTAGACACATCATGCTCTCCGAGAGATTTGAATATAGGATCTGATAAATTCTGCTTGCTTCACAGATGTAAATGGTTCCTCTACATTCAGTTTTAATTTCTTATAAATAGAAGAGAGGGAGGGAAAAATAGGGAAGAAGTTGCCCTACATGCATATAGAACATGATCACAGCAAAATGCTGAGAATTAATGAAGGGGCAAAAAATTACTCAAAACAGACATAAATACCAGGTTTCAAATAAAGCAATTCTCCTTAAGTTTAAAAGGAAATTGCAATTAAGGCACTGATGCACAGAATTTACCAGATAACTAATTTTACAATTATTTAAATGCTCTCTTTTCATACTACTAATTACCCTTTTTTGCTTTTTCGATGCAAAAATCCAGAACCATTCCCTGAAACAAGTCTTGGTGTTAGTTTGATTTGGAAAATCTGACCCTTATCTTCCATCAGTACCTGAAGTGGGAGACCTAAAAGGAAGAAACTGGTAGCAGTCTTAGCTCAAGAGAAGCCTTGTTGAAAAGCAACTGCCACTAAGAGAACTGTAGCTTCTTTTGTACGTGTAGGTAACTTTAGCTAAGCTGGGACTGTTACAAGATTTGGAAGCTGCTTTTTGTTTGGCAGAGGCTCCTGCTCACTTCAGAGTTGTTGTAAATCCTTTGCCTTCAAAGGCAAGGTTTTGAGGAGAGAAACTGCTGCAGCTGGCTCTCAGCTTCAGCTTGGCAGTTGTTGGATAATCCTTCCACTGCAGGAGGCAACTTGTTTTCTCCTTGTATAGTGTAATCTTGCACTTCCTTATTATCACCATACTGATTTTATCATTGTGACAGTTCCCACCAGTGGCTCCTGACCCAAGAGGCTATATTCAGATACCAGAAGGGACAAAGATGGAGCAATGGGTGTAGACCCGCATGGCAGTATGGTGTACCATTACATATCCTCTGGTTTGGGCAATGTATTTTGGTTTATGTAGAATTCTTAATATGCAATACTTTATGTTTAGGCACACTAACAGCTAGCATTGCTTACTGTTACAGTAAGTCTCTAAGTAGAAAAAATGGTTCTAATAAAATGCTAGTGTCTAACTGCAAACACTGGGACAAAAAAATGCTCTCACATCCTCTCAGAGCCACATGGATAGTTTCCATAAAGATTGTTTCCTCCAACCCCTCACCCCAAACTTTTATTAATCCTTCAGTGAATATTTTCTGATTATGTAGCTAAACTTCCAACCTACTTAGTAAATGCTCTGAGTTTTGTGAGATAGAACCTAAAAGCAGGCAGGTGTTTACATGTAATATTAGTTGTAATTTACATTAAAATCATATATAAAATGGTACAGCAGCCACCAAACTCTAAGGCAGTTTCCCTGTTAATAGTCATCTGCAAAAATTTGGCAACATTTATTTACTTCTATAATGTTTTCTTCTCCCATAAGTTTCTATTGTGATCCACATGTTCACAGGACGGAATCTATCTGCCTGCACAGGTAAGGGACAGAACTGTTTAAAGGCAGTCAGGTCAAAATATACGTGAGCCAAGTCCTGGCCTCATTTGATTTGAAAATCTGTAAAATCACTGTAGAACTTAACTGGTTTTCTATAGTGATGCTCAAAAATTTGTTCAGTCCACCGTATTTACATCCTTCATAATGATTCAGTTATTTAGAACTTTAGAAAGGGTTGTATGCATGTAAGAATACATGGTGGTATTTTTTTTTTTTAATTCATGTATATTCCCTCAGAAAGGCTTTAATTATTCATTGAATTCTTTTTTTAAGCTCCAGGAATTTATCAGACAAGATATTTCCCCATAATTTTACATAGTATAGCTTTTCAATTGATAATTTCTATCTACTGAAATTTTAAACGTTAAAATTATAATTTTCATAAACAGGAAAAGTTTAAGACTAAAGCTCAAATTAGAAAACTATTGAAATTATAGTAATAAAATCTGGAAATAAAAGTAACAAACCAGCATAAATTCCCTTAGTGCATAAAATATTTTGAAAACTATAAATACACATAATAAAGAAAATATGTAAAAGGTACAACAACCTATTCTTCTGACAAGTCAAAGACAAATTCTCAGCTTGAATTCCTCTATTTTTCTGAAACATTTAAAAGCTAGATGCCTAATTCTGTTGTGATTAACTCTTCTAGTTATCTCACCAGAGATAAATGGACATCACCAGAGCAGAACTCATCCTAAGCACCTCTGTGTCAGACTTCTTGTGCCTTTAGATACTGATTTTACCCCTGCTATGCAGGGAGTGTAGGATGACTAGCTCAATTTGACATCTAAAGTTAATTGTAATTGATCAGATTTTTAATTTCATACCTTAACAGGATAATTTAAAAATTTAAAAATATTATATTATTATAATAAACACAAACAATATTTAATAAAATAATCAGATAAAGCAAACTTCTTCATTGTTCCTTGCATCACACACAAGTGTGCGTTGGGTTTTTTTTGTTGTTTGGAGGGGGGTGTGTGGTTGGATTGTTTTTTTAGTTCACCACTTGAAAGCAATGTCAAAGTGTACATTTAAGAAAAGGTGCCTATGAGCCTAAGGTCAAAGGCACATGAATACATAATCTGTGGAATATACAGTGCAATGGATTGTGTACTTACTTGTTCATTTGCATCCTCCTATACCAGTGGTTGTAAGCATCAGGGAAGACATTCCACAAAATTTGTACTTTCTAACACCAGAAAAACCTCCTACAAACCCTGTGTACTGTGAAATTAGTGTGCCATGATGAGCAGCTGATCATCATTTTGAACAGAAGAGGAAAAAGTGAATTTTTGATGCCAGATTCTGAACTATGAATTCAAGCCTGCAGTCCTTACAACCTGTATCTTGAGCAGGTAACCTTAGCTTGCATAAGACCTAAAAAAATTAACAGATCTAGCAGGATCAATCCTCCCAGTACGTAGACAGGACTATTTGAAAATGTGTTATGTTAACATGGAGCATTTAATTTATTACTATATAACGCATTTTCTGTATTTTGGCTAAGTAGTCTCACTGTTATTACACAATTTTCAAATACAGCTCTAGAAAATACAGTTATCCCCACCAATAAGAAAGATGACAGTCATACTTTTTAAAGTTTTCTGACAGAACCTGAAGAATAAATTCTCATACGAAAACGTAACTAAAGAAAATTTAGTCAAGAAAAGACAGAAAAGATACTGTTTTAAAATATGTTTTTCGAATAAAATTGAATAAAATTAATCTGGAAGATATTGCATAAGGAATCAGGTAAACTTACATATTTGCTTTGCATATTTGAATACTTAAATGCTGAAAAAAATCCCTACCTTCAGATAATTTTGACATATACTCAAAAACGAGATGTGTGTTCTTCCGACAGATATCTACTGGATCATCCAAGAGCTCAGCGAGGGCAGAAATCACTCCATTTTGTATCAGCCCATGCCTGCAAATAACATTGGAGAAAAGATTCAATTAAGCATAATACAACTCATATATGTTTGTGACATGCTAAATCTTATTTACATTGCACCTATCTTGTAAAAACTTACAAATTTTGTTCTTATTTCACACTGAAAATTATTATTTGCCTTACTGTTTAGTAATCTCTGGAATTAGACCTACCTGCCAACATTATGTGTTGTCATTATATGAAGGATTTCTGTTGTTTTTTGTCGGACAGTACTGACCTGATGTACCAGCAAAGTCTTCAGATTATTCAAAACTCCTATGAGACACAATAGTTCATTTTAACATTTCTTGCCTTCAGCATTACTTTTAAATAGCAATAATAATTTTTATATCACAGTTTGAAGTGCAAATAATCAGAATTTTATCTTGTTCTGACAATGAAACTCTTGTTTTATCTCAAGTTGGGAGCAAACTTTGGAGTGTCAAGGCCTACTGTAAAAAATGCTATGATACAAACAAGCTGCTGACTTCTGTATCAAGTTAAATTTTTATCATACAAATATTTATGAAGCAGTATAACTCTAAAAATAAGTGGAGATATTCATGAAATATGAATATGCTTTTCAAAGAGCATGTGTTTGCAGGATTGATGCCTACATTTCTTTAAAGGTTTCTTTAGGTGTACCATGTGCTATGTATAAACACAGACTATTGCTTTTCACATGTGGAAATAAACTGGCTAAACCATTAATGATTATGTGGATACATACATAGCACTGACCAAAGAAAAAGAAAAACAGCCCAAACAACAATCTCACGTTGCTTCAGCAGCTACTGTTGATCAATAAATAACAATACATTTTGAACTTGATTATTGGTATCTTTTATGAGGAAAAAAAATAAGTAAATGGAGAAAAAAAAACAGTGGCAAACTGGAAGGCTTCTGCAGTGTTACATATTAAAAATAGGCTGCTGAAAATTACAAAGATGAGCTGGGGGGTGTGTGTGTGTGCGTGTGTGTGCTTGTTTTGGGGTTTTTTTCCTCCCCAAAATCCACACTTAGGATTCATAGAAGCATAGAATAGTTTGGGTTGGAAAGGACCTTAAGATCATCAAGTTCCAACCCCCCTGCCATGGGCAGGGACACCTCGCTCTAAACGTATCACCCAAGGCCTCGTCCAACCTGGCCTTGAACACTGCCAGGGATGGAGCATTCACAACCTTCCTGGGCAACCCATTCCAGTGCCTCACCACCCTAACAGGAAAGAATTTCCTCCTTATATCCAATCTAAACTTCCCCTGTTTAAGTTTTAACCCATTACCCCTTGTCCTACCACTACAGTCCCTAATGAAGAGTCCCTCCCCAGCATCCCTATAGGCCCCCTTCAGATACTGGAAGGCTGCTATGAGGATTCTTCTAAGTGCTCAGATAAAACCCTCTGAAAATAGTGGTGGCCAGATAAAATCCTGATGAGTGTAATAGATTTCATCATATTCTTTTGTATCTTAAATTCTCATGAAGTTCCAGAGTTGTTTTTTGCTATAGACTCATTCTACAGTCACTAAGAAATTTCTGAGAAGGAGTTCTGCATAAAAAGGTCCAGTATTTTCTGTCTGGTAAAGTTATATCTGGATATGTCATGCTGTCCGCTGCTGAAGGAATGAATGACAAAACAGGATTTAATGGATTTTGCAAATGAACTTGTAAAGCTTATTTAAATATTATTGTATTAATTATTAATTTAAAGGTTCGTCAAAGGTTTTTTTGCCTCTTATTATTATGGGATCTGAGATACGAGTATTTTGAGCACCTCCAGTATGAAGTACCACTCTCCCGAGTCATATGAGGTAAAAAATGTCAAATGAAGGGAAAAGAAAAAAGGGTGATTTTGTTTTTTTTTTTTCTTGCTCTAGGATAACTAAAAGCTTTTTATTTTCCTCTTTCTAAATAATATGTATTTAGTAGTTTTCATAAGATCACTGTTTTTTTTCTGAAAGGTTCATGGAAAACAGGGTTGGAGAAGATTCCAGGCAAATGAAATTTAACTAAGCAACAAGGGGGTGGTGTTTCTAACTTGGACTGATTAATGTTTTTTATAGATACATATTATTAGACTGTGTTCAGACTTACATAAAATTCAGTGTAAACAAAAGAAAAAAAAATGATTCTGCACTACTTTTGTATTTAGGGAGTGCTAAAACCTATAGTGGGCCATTGATAAATCCTAAAGTGAGGATATTCTTTAAATAATCGTTATGCATATGGCATTATAACATTTTTTTTACCTCTTTAAAAGAGATTAAAATAGGAAAAACTTCATGGCAATTTTGTGTCATCAAAGATAGTACAAGGAGAAAAGTAGTGCACAAAAGTGCCTTCCCCTTTCCCCCTGTGTCAAAGCTTATGACAACAGGTTACTTACCTAATTCTAGTGCCTGGTAGACATTTTGTGGGTCATGGACCATATCACAGAGCGCCATCAGTGCCCGCTGCTGAGTCAGCAGCTCAGGAGACTGCAACTCCTCATTCAGTTTAGGAAGGCCCCTCCTTCCAAAAGCAATAGGAGCTTTCATAGGATCTATATTAGGGGGGAGGTTGGCTGATATACGAGCATGTGCCATCCTGAATTTTCCTGGGAAGGATTCTCCCTCTCCCTAAAAATACTCCAAAATGACTGTATGTGGTGACTGGACAGATGATGTACCAAAAGGACTACTACCGACTTTTAACGGTGTTCTATGTCCCAGAAGAGCTACTTTAGCATACGTTCATTGTTAGGAAGCTATGAAAGAGGCAGAAATGTTTTATGGTCATCAGGATTAATGTCTGTTCATCAGCTGAATTGTCTTCTCTGATTTAAGTCTCTACCGACCACTGTAAAAAAAAAAAAGAGGGGAGGGGAAAGAGAGAGAGAAAACAAGCTTAATATTGCAAGGTGGGAGAGGTACTATTTTCAAAGCATCAAAGCGAAGTAGTTCAATGTCCTGAACCAGACAAAGGGCTCAAAAAATAAAGCAAAAGCAAGCAAAAGGTCAGGTGTTTTTTTGTTGTTGTTGTTGTTGTTGTTGTTTTCTTTTAAAACCCCATTCTTTTAAACCCGCCCTCAGAATCTATTAACTTTTGACAGAATCCGTAACGCCTGACCACCCCTTCTCTCAGTAAGGAAAACGGCGCAGCTGACAGAAACACAACCGCCAGCGCTGCGAGCTGCTCTGCCGAAACAACAAAGAGAAACCCAGCTGCAAAGTTCAAACAACTGCTAAACAACTGCACTTCTCTCTTCAAAACAAAAGAAAGACTACATAGTCAAAGGCGCCCTGTCCCACCATGTCATCGCCTCAGCCCGTCCCGCTTCCCGCGCCGCAGCTCCTGCCCGCTGCGCTTTCGCGCCCGCGTGCTCTAGTTACCACAGCAACAAGCTCTAGCTACCGCAACACCCCGCTCCGTGAATAAGAATAACGCAGTCAAGCATACTGAGTCCGGCCCTACGTTAATAGCGTAAATACCGCGTTTGACGGTTGCTGCTGTGAGAGAGAAGCGTAAGGAGCGTAGTTGGTGAATTGGAAGCCGGGGCCGCTGCTGGCGTGGGACGGGGAGGGCTGCGCGCGGTGGGGCTGAGGCGCTGGACGGGGCTGAGGCGCGGCCCCTTAGGGGAGAGAGCGGGTGAGGAAGAGGGGCAACGCCGGGGGGTGTGTGTGTGTGTGTGTGTGTGTGTTGCAGTGTGGAGGCCGTTTTACGTCCCCGCTCTGCTTTTAGCAGAGGGAGGCTTTCTTCTCACCCGCCGTTTTAAAAGTAATCTCAGTTGAACACAACTGGGAAAAAATCAAATTGAACAAAATGGTGGTCGAGTTAATGCAGAGGTGTAGCGAGTGAGAGTGCCTTAAGGTGCAAGGGTTGAAGGGAGCTCAGTATCTTTCTACTAGGTTTTCTTTCCGAGTTTTCTCCAGTCACTATAAGTAGCTAGGACGTGTAGCAGGGGGTTCCATTTTCATGAGGTAGTTTCATGTAACTGTCTTCAAGACTTGGCCATCTTTTTCAGTATCATTCTGCTAAAAAGTATAGTCTGAGGATGGCAGACAGGGAGAACATACTGTAAAGTTGCCATTACACCTTAAGGGTGCTCTGGATTGTCAGATGTGATCTGGCATGAGGAAAAAATCAACTCTGAACAGCTATAAAAGGTTCGTTCTCATTATAAATAGTCAAATTATTGAGATGTTTTCCATTATGTTTGAGTAACAATTATAATAAAGTTCTTAAACTGGATTTTACAAAGCCAAAGTCGTTCAGATCAGTTGGATTAAAATGCAACACAGGAATAGATTATGGTTTGTTGATCTTCAAAATCCATAAAAGAAAAACTATTAGTTTAAAAAGTATTTTGTGGAGAGGATTCATTTTTTCTGCAACATTTTAGAGGAGATTATTTAAAGTAGAGGTTATTTTCCTGAATTAGGTTAGACTTTCACTAGCTACATATTTGTAAAGTTTCACCCTATTTCAATAGAAGGAACATGAACATTTCTCAGTGCAGAAGGGGCAGAAGATCAGGGACCTCTCTTGTCCTTCAGTGTTAACTCTGCTCTCATCCTTTTGGCATGAGTTGTTCTCTCTTGTTCTTCACCATAGCTTGGAATACTGATTTTGGTCAGTAGTCATGATGTTATTTTATGTACAGCTACTGCATGCCTTCCTCAAATCCTTTGGCTAACCACAGAATCTGCTGGTGCTCCTGTTCCTGCAGAATTGGTGTAAGAAGTGTTGTGATGCCATGGAGACACTGTATTACAGTCCCTTCTGGTGACTGAACCTCCTTCAGCTTCATAAGAAGAGAAAATCTGGATCTCAGTACTGATAATTCTCAGTATCTTTAGCAGCTTTGTATTTCTAAAATAATTGATTCCTTGAAAGGATTGATTTCTGTCTAATGGTGTGCCCAATTTGGGATATGTTTTTGTGTTAAATACACTAAATGTAAGTGAAGATATTTCTGTTTGGTTGCCTTGGTCCCACCTATACTTTGGATTCACTAAGATCGTTGAATTGATTTTATTTACTTTTCTTCTGTAGCTTAGTTTGTGACAGAGCTGTAGGAGACAGGAAGTGAGTCAGCCTATGGATACATGAAACGTTTGTGTGTGTCTAGGATGTGTTGAACTAGGAGAATATGGAGAAAGCAAGTTAGTGTTTGAAACTCTTACCAAGTGGTAGAGGTTTTGTTTTCAGCACTATTATTTTAAGACACTGCCGTAAAATCATTCAAATTTGCCAACAGGCAGGAGCAAAGCATAAAAAGGGCCTAGATCTTTCTAGTTTTGTACAATCACAAGTAGCATGATAAGCAGAACTATGCATATGGTGATAAATAAATACTGTGATGTCACCTTCTTTGCTGAATAATCCATTAGCTGAAAATCTGGATTTCTTGGGGGGAATAGAGTGTTTCAGTATGGTTGAGGTCACATGGGTGTCTGAAGTGATTTAAAAGCAATTCCTCACAAAAGAGAATAAAACATGAATTCTAAGCAGTTGACTGGCAATTTTGTTGAAATTATTCTTAGTGGTGTTGTAAAACACGGCTGTAGGGGTTTTGTTGTATACTTATTGTTTAAAATTGCTTGTCCATGTTGATTTGCTCTTTTAACTTTTTTAGTCTGCTGCAGGAATGGGAGAGGCTTATCTCTTGAATGTTAAGAGGTCCAAGCCTGTTCCAGCATATCAAATATTAGAATGTGAGAGCTTTCATTTGTCTTGAAATTTGGAAATTTAAATAATAGTAAATAAATAGGAAAATCTTTTGACATCTTAAATTACAGTCTAGCGTACTAAGTGCTGTCTAAACAAATGAGTTAGTTAACAATACTTAGCCAATACAAAAGAGCTGTGTGATTTCTTATTCCTTGTCTTTCGTGTTTGGTACATTAGAAAGCAAGATTACTATTGACTAGAAGGACATCTATATAGTTCAGAATGTCTCATTAGTGGCATGAGTCTCCTGATGCTAAAGCTAAGATGAAACAAAGTTGAAATTCTGAAACTTCCTCGGGAGTTTCTTTATAATTGCTACTATGCTTAATATTAGCACTGAAAGAGTTCCCCACTCCATTAATTCCTTGTCTGCTGAGTTAATCCCGTGCTTTCTATCCATATATACAATTATCTTTGAAGAAAACAGAACTATTGTCTTACACAGAATTCAGGTACCACTGGGTTTATTAAGGAGCAGTTTCTGATCACAGGAATCTATATGGCCACTAAAACCAGTTTGTCCTTTTAAAACTAGGGCCCTACTTATAGTTAAATTACTTCAACCCCACCTTCCCAATCTGTAAAAGAAGGGAAGAAGGGAAATATTGAGAGCCTGTTGCTATGGCCACAGCAGCAGGCTGAGCTGTTTGTGTGGCTGGACTCCTGCTGCATCAGCTGCTGCACGGTGAGTCCTTCCTTATACTTGGCCACATGATGGATGTTCTTAGAAACATTCTTTTGAATGCCAGCAAGAAATTGGTATGCTATTAAGGGTCCCCTCCCCCAACAACCCACGAGGTATCATTGCATAACCAAATTGATATATCTCAAGTGAGTTATCTAAATGCATTTGTGATTTTCATATGAACATTATTCTTTTTCCAAGTTAGCCTATCTACTGATCTCATTCTTTCTGAGCTGATCTTGGATGAAAAGTTCGATGCTGTGCCAAGAAAAGTGACAGCTTCATCTTTCCTCCCTTCTTCTGACCAAACAAAATCTGGTATCCCTAACATTTATTACTGTCCTTTCTGCAGATGTATTTCAAATAATGATGAGCAAGATTTTTAAATTAAACTCTGCAAAATCCTTTGAGGGCTAAACTGCAAGCACTTATGTTGAATTAATTATCTGCTCTCCCACGGAATTACAGTTGATGCCTTGTACTTTCAGAAAGCCACTGTTTGTTACTACAGTTATGCACCCTGAAGTGGTCCCTTTTACATAAGAAACAGGTTTTATTTAACACAAACCAGTTGTACTGCAGTGAGAAAAGATTATAAGTCTCTAAGAACTGTTATTTTTTTAATCAAGCTTTCCCTGTATTGAAGCAATTCCTGGAAACTGTTTCTCTTTACGTATTTTCTGTCTGGGAGAGTTGACTTGAATTTGGAGGATGAAGACAAACCTAATGCATTTGATCCCCCCAGTAAGTAGGGACAGAGTACTCTCCTGATTTCCCAAGGTAAGTATTCTTTATCCCTCTGGTCACAGTATGTAGCACCTGCCACATTGTTTCCCTCCTGCTAATAGTATTTTAATTTAATGTACAGTTGTCATCTGCTAAAATTAGGAATTGTTTAAGGATTTCTTTTAAAGATGAATGTGGACTCATGTTGCCATTCAGTGCTGATATATTAATGATAGTGTTATCTTATAATACCTATCTTGTTATATCAGCCAAACATTGAGTACATGCTTAAAGAGTTCCTATGCTGAGGGGAAATAAGAACCACAGCTGGTATCAAATATGCAAAGAATCTAATTAGACCTATATGGAGGTTTTGGTTGAAGAATTGAGGCAATTTTAATTTTCTCTTTGCATAGGAACCTTAGTCATACAGTAGATCAAACGATTCTTGTAAGGGAGTTAGCAATTTTTTTCCATGCCCGATGTTAGCCACATATTTTGCTTTTAATTTCAGGAAAACTATCATAGTTATTTTAAGCAAATATAAAATAAGTTTTCCTCATTTTTAATGAATGTCTAATTAAAAGCTAGAAATAAAAACAGTGCTTCACACATGTAAGGGATCTAAAAGACTTCTCTATGACTTGCTGCTGGCATCCTCCCAAAGGAGGCTTTACATAGCTGTGGGAAGGCTTTACTGCTTTGTAACCCAAGCTATCCCTTCTGTTATGCCAGGACATCCCTGTGCTTGATAAACTCTTTGAATTAATCTTCTTATCTATTTTTTCCTTGCTGATAGGACTTTTGCAAAGTAGGCATCACACAATTTATCCCAACAGCTGTTCTCTCTTGTTTTCAATGGTACGCACCTGAGGCCTCTTGGCAGTTCTGAGCACTTCGATGCAGAGGTCAGGACTGCTTGTATCAGAGCACTGGGTAAGATTGTAACACATTATCTCTGTCCAAGAACTGTTACTAATACTGATTTAATTGCTAAAGCAAGGTTAGAAAGCTTAACTGTGTTAGAATTTATCACTATTCATTTAAAATAAATAGCTGTATGTTTTAGTGATAAATGCTTCTGTGTTCCAGTGTGCAGGATCTTTCATAAAGTGGAGCTTCTATGAATACTGACAATTAACTCAGTATTCTTTCAAATCTAGAATTTTTGATTATTACAAAACTTGTAATGATATCAGTCTTTGCATGGAACTTCTTATTCACTTCACTAAGGGGGGTGGGGTCGGGGGAAAAGGCCAAAATATGTCTCCCTGAGAGACACCAGTGAGTTTATTGCTTTTTAGAAGCATAGTCACTGTCATAGCTTACACTGTCATGTAAATTTGTTATAAGTGTCCACGCAATTTTGTTAGCAAGGCACACTTTAGTGAATTGAGGCATTTCCCTCTCTGTAAGCAGTGTAAACCAGCTCTCCACTTCATTATTCTGATATCAGAGCTTTACATTTTGGCTTTGTGAATAAAATGGAATCACTTGCCTGTCATTGCTCTCTAGGTATTGTTATTCGGTCACTTTTTTGGTGGAGCCAGGGTAGGAGGGACAGACAACTGAGTATTTTATGCAGTAACTGTAAAGCTTGACAGCAATAGCCATTATCTTAATTTTCCATTATCCCAATTCCTTTGTCATTTGGAAAGGTAGTCTGATAAATTCAGTAGCTAATGGATGTATTTTAAGACTCTCTTGATATTCCATCAGTGTGTTAAATTGCCTAATCCAGGGAGTTTTTTTCCCCAGTATGAATTAATGGAACACACACCTCTAAACCGTCAGTTACGTTTTTGCTTTTCCCTTAAGGTTGTTGATTTTAGTCAGTATTTCATCAGTAACAGTTAATCAGGCAGAGACATGTCAGCTGCTTAGAGGCCTGTGGCCACCCGATTGATATTGAGTGGCACACAATATTAGTCATGTAACTTACCAGTCAAGATTTGGACTATTTAGAATAGGTAACTTGGAATCAGTATCACATAGAAGCCAAATATAACCAGAAATAATGTTCAGTAAATTAATTGATTTGTTTAAAAAAGACGTTCCTTTATACAAAACAGCATTAAACCTCTTAAGCCATTTTTGTCGCATGTGCACAGGTGATGTCAATCCAAGTTTATGCCAACAAATATATTCATTTAGCCACCTTATCCCTTAAAAGATACACTACACTTTAAGAATGCAGCTGAGTCACCTAAAGCCCATCTGCTATATTCTGTGGGAGGACCCAGAGCAAAGCAGATTATTTGCATGAAGCCAACTTCAGATTATTATTCCACATAGTCAGAAAATGTATTGGCTCAAACCACGTGGGTTTTTTTTTTCCCCAGAGGCAAATTCTGCAGTGGGTATTTTATTATCAGCAGTTTCTTGTTTCTGCACTTAGGAGTTGAATTGTACTATTAAAGTCAATGAAAAATTTGTGATTAATTTTGATGAAAAGGATGTAGATACTTTATGGTCTTATTTATAAATGTATATACTTGCAGTCAAAGCAATTTGAATAGAATAGAATTTAGGTCCCACTGATTATATTAAGGAAAAAATATGCAGACTAAGAAACTGACTGTTTCAGCTCCAGAGGGGTTTGGCTTTTTTTGTGATCACCTTTTGCTTTCTTATACTTTAAGACCAATTCTATAACACAGTGTCATTTTGGTAAATTTGAGTCAGGTAAATGTGCTCATTGCTTGCAATTTAAGGATTGAAATCAGAATTTTTAGAGACACAATGTTGAAATTGCGACTAAATATGTGTTATGTTTTCAGATATTTATAACAGTCTGGATAGGTAGGAGACCACATGTATGTTGGGAAACCACAGGTACAGTGTATCTCAGCAGATAGTTTGATTCTGCTTTATCTCATATAAATGTTAATAATGTTTCTGTTCCTGTCCATTCAGGGTACCAGCTCATGGTTCTATTTTGAACCATGATTTTGTTATTAAATAAAAACCAAAACGAAGTCTAGGGTATGCGACAGGCTTGATATGCCAACACAGAAAGCCAAGCTCTGGCACTTCAATCAAAATATGCTATATTTTGAAATATTTTTATCCAGTCAAATATGGTACAGTGTTTTCTTAAGAAATCTAGTCTAAAGGCTAAATGATTAGAAGGTACAAAAAGAAATAAGTAAGAATCTTCCCTGTTTCTGAGTCTTGGCTTCATGTTTTCTCCTTACTTGAAGGGTGGTTCACCAAAATATTTTTAAGTCATTGTTGTGTGTGTGCCTGAACTCATTTCTCCGCCTGCAAGACTGTAGAGGAAGTTGGAGTTTTCCTGTAGTTTATGAAATAAGACAGATAAAATTCAGAATGCTTTGAAGAATAGTAATTTAATTGTTTACTGGATGTTAAAGCTAGCTCTTACTGTTTTTGTATTTAAGTCCAGTGAACAGATCACTGAATTTCTGTATGTTATAATCATCATGACAACTTTCTGTCTATGTTTGTGTTTTACTATTATTATTATTTCTGCCATGTTTTTACATAGATATGGTAAAGTTTTAATTTCATTGATTAATCATTTGAGCAATTATTTACTAGACATGTATGCTTTCTAGTTTGTTATCCAGTATCTCCTTTTTTAAAATCAGTTTCTTGGTGTCTTTATATATGCTTCTGCAATATTTGGCAAATCCAAAGTTAGTTAATTATTTTCTTCATAATTTACCCAAGAGAGTGTTAGTTTTGCCCTTATTTCTAGCTGGGTGTTACTAGTATTTCATCCTTGGTTTTAATTGCAGATTTTATAAAGATAAGTTTGCCTGAGACTACAAGGCTACAAGTGAAGTGGATTTTGAAATTGAATGTTTTGAAATAATTGGAATATCATCTGCTGTCCAGATGTAAGTTGACACAGCATGATCAAGCATTGCACAAAGTACAATCTCAGCAGAGCTTGAATTGCTGCAGGATCTAGTGGAATGAAGATTTTTTTTTTTTAATAGTATAATTGCACAAAGAATAATGTGATCTGAAAACTGGGTTCTGTACCTGGTTTTTACTTGCAGTTTTAGTAAAAAACTTTACTCTCTTGAATTTCTTATCTATAAAAATGAAATGTCATTTGTCAATTAAAATCTTGGATGTCATGCACCATTTCAGAGTTGTTCTGCCTATTTTATTCAAGTTCCTTGACACAAAAGTGGAAGCTTTTGCCACAAACTTTGTCCACTGTTACACCATTCTGTCATTTCAGTTTAGTAGGTTCAGTGTGCACTGAACTTGACTTTATCGGGAATTTAATTCTTGCAGTCATTGAAATTAATGGTAAGGTGTTCAGTGACTTCAGCATCTCTTTCTTAGGGACCCATTATTTTTCCCCAAGTCATAGAAAGACTGGATTTTTACTAGAATGTGGATTTAAAATCTTTGATTTTCAGCTTTGTTTATCAGGCTAGCGGGAATCCTGTCCTTCTCTCACCTGCCTTGGCTCTGCTGAAGGATGTCCTTTGCTGTTTCCAGTGGCTAGCAGTAATGTTCTGTAGAGGGCATTTCTGAATCATCTATGCTGTACTGTGACCTACAGCAGAAATAAAATGCTTTGCAGGAAATATTTTAGTGCATGTGTTTACTTAGGAGCACATATTTTTCTGAGAACATTAATGTAGGTAGATGCTAATGGGATTTATTGAAACATACTTAGAAATCCAGGTTGGACAGGGCTTGGAGCAACCTGGTCTACTGGAAGGTGACCCTTCCTGTGACAGAGGGTTGGAGCTAAGTGAGCTTTAAGATCCCTTCCAATGCAAACTGTTCTATGAAACCATTTCCAACTGATTGCGGTGTCACAGTGTTTCTGAAAATTCTAGCAGGCTCTATCTTTTTGGAACTTGAGTCCCTCTAAGGATCTAGACTGATGTATCAGTATTTTGCAAGCTGAAAGAATAAGGTTTATGAGCTATTAAATGTCAGGTTGTGTTATCTGCAGAATCTTCAGTGGCTGGGTAGAACATTTTCATACGGTAAGCACTAGTGCCCCCTCTTGCTGAGAGATCTCTATACAAGATAAATTTGCAAGCGTCCATGACTGGCAGCACTAGTCTGTAACAAAATCCCAAGCCTCTGTAGTGCCATTAGTAGCTGAGAGGACTGCATATGATATTCATCAATAGAAGCACACTCTTAATTTTTTTAAGAGTGTCATTAGTACCTGGTGGACTGAGTTATAGGCCTCTAATTTGTAGTGTATGGACAGATGTCATATCTAGCAAATGCAAGATTCTAAGATTCTATGAGCTAATATATGATCTAGGTGGTATTAGCACAGAAAATTCTCAAAATTAGATTGTCCTAGAAATACATACAAATTACATAGATGAGGAAAAGGTTTTTAAGAAAAGGGTATTACCATGCAGAATACAAATACAAATATTTGAACTGTATCTCCAAAATAACAAATACATATATAAAAAAGAGGTTAAAATAGAGTTCAAATGTCTTCATTACATGATAGAGCTTTACTGTATTTTTTTCAGTAGTTAATAAATAACATGTTCCAGATGGTAGCACTTCTCTGGTACCACATTCTTCTCCAACCTGTACCAGTCTGCTGCATGTTTACTCAGGTTACACTGGGTTTCATTAACCTGAAATTTCTTTTTTTTTCCCTTCATTGCACAGATGGGACACAGCAGGCCAGGAGAAGTTCAAGTGCATTGCATCTGTTTACTACTGAGGAGCAGTGGGTGAGAACAATATTACTTTGATCCTGGCTGTGACAGGAGGTTGTAATTTATACAGAAACATATATGCGTATGTGCTCCTTGGGAGGGTGCCTGTAGACACAGTGTGGTGGAATTGATTGTCCTTTATTGGAGAGAAGGGACTAAAAAGTTTGTGAATTGATAAGTTGTTGGACCTGCAAGCTCTGAATGTTCTGATGGTCAGTTATAAAAACTTCACTTGTGTCTATGGGAATAGAATTTGGGTTTGGGTAAGATCATTGCTGAAGATAGAACAATTCTGGCATTCCCTTTGGTAAGAGAATCATTCCTGCAGAAATTAAGTGGTCTCTTTATAAAATAAAAGATAAAAGGAACAATAGCACTATAGACTGAAGGCAAAGACTAAATATGTGGAAGACTGATGAATGCAGTCTTACTGGGTGCTAGAGAAGGAAGAGGAAGAAGCAAATGAGTAGTCTTCCACCTACTCTGTGTTGAATCTGCTCTTGCACCCTATATGTAAGCATCCTCTCTGTTTAACACAATGAGTTGGAAAGAATTCTGACACACTTTCTAACTTATTTTTTCTCTGTTCTTATCTTTTATTGCATTTATAATAACAGTGTTTGATCTGGTTGGTATCCAGACTTTGGATCACATCAAATAAGTTTCTATATTTTGGCTTAGGCTTTAGAGTTTTGCATCAGGTTTAAACACCTTGTATAGTCTGTAGTTGCTAAGAACTAGCTGGATCATGAGTGTATTTCCTACTGAAATAAGAAATGAAGAATGACAGTCACTTGTTTGGATTACATAGCATGGGATTTTTGTAGAGAAAATGCAGAGCATAAATTTAAACTACTTACCCTTGACTTCCTTTATGGTCAGTGGAGAATAAGGTAAATAGTGAAATGGATGAGATAGATAGATACATCAGATGTATAATGTCTCAATAACCTGTCTTTAGATAAACTGCTAGTCCAGAATTTTTTTTCTCTAGTTTCTGTAGTGATTCTTTTGGGAGATAGGCTGTCAAAAAGAGGAGAGAAAATTAAAACCTCAAAGTATATGTAGGTCTAGCTGAACTCATTGGTTCAGGCACTTGTAATGGTTTGCTTACACAGTGATTGTTTTAAGTAAACTTGTTCTGCTTTAAGTGCAGGCTGCAAACCCCAACTTGGCTCTATGATCCGTATTGTTGTCACCAGCTCAGAGCCTGTATCTTTCTAACATACGGTTGTGACTGCAAGGCAGGTACATATTTCTTTACAACTTGCACTCTGTCTGATTTGAATATGTAACTATTTTCTTAGACTACTGCTGTTGTACTTAGCTCATTTGCATATGACTTTGTAAAATAATATATATATTAGTGTCTCTGCTTGGCTGAAAATAATTGAAGCCTGTGAACCTGATTTCCCACACACGCACATACTCTCTTCCCTCTTTGATTTGTGTCAGATGACTCAAGAGGAACTTGATTGCCAGAGTAACAGAAATATAAAAGCTTAGGAGACAAGAATCATGCAGCCTTCACAGGGAGCTGTTTTATAGCGCTGAATAGATTATTTCACTCTTCTTTATTCCTGTTCGTATCTAATGTGCTATGTTCGTATCTTTTCTTCTGCTTCTTGTTCTTTTTATTCCTTATCTAAACCAAAGTTTGCCCTCTCCCCTATACTGATAAATACCCTCTCTGAGTGCTGAAATCATTGTTGAATTTGCACTCTGTAGTGGGCATGTTTGAACTTTTCATTAATGGAAGGCATGTATCCAAAGGAACTGGAATAGCTCCTGGTGTATTTCTGCCTAGAAAAAAAGGCTTTTGATCCTCTCACATAGGTTCATCCTCTCACTTTTCTTGTGACCTTATTATCAGTCACTTTGTCCTGTATTTCTCAGTCCCTCTGACTGATTGCCTCATTACCCTTTTGTATTTCAGACAGTGGCTAGAAGATGCACTGAGGGAAAATGAGCCAGATTCCAGCTTCATCTTTCTAGTTGGAACAAAAAAAAAAAAAAAAAAAGAAAGATTTGCCAATAAGTAAATTTAATGAAGATAAGGAAATCAGGTTTCCTGTAGTTCCTCGATTGATTTCCCTTACAATTTGTACACGGTGTTGTTGAGATAAAGACCTTCAGGGAAAAATAAACAGAAAGAAAGCTCACAGGTAACTAGAACAGCACTTGGAACTGATTTAAGAAGATGTTTTCTAAAAATAACTCCTAAGTAGTTAGTGAAATATCCCTATTTGAGTTCTTTGCATAACATTTTTCAAGCACATACAAACAACTTAAAAGTCAGAAAAAACCTGGGAGTACCTAATGATCTACAACTGTTCTAAAATAAATCTGTTTTAATTACAGGTATGGAAGTACATAAATGCAGCTGCATAGTTTTCATTGTGTTTTCTCCATCCAGGAAAAATCTGTATTATTTTTCATTCTCCACTTGAGAATCAGAGCCCAGTGTTTAAATATTTCCAAGCCTCAGAGAAGCCCAGATTAAAAACTTCGTTTTATCCCAGCTAACTAATATATTGAAAATGTTACCAGATATGAATGCTATTCTGTTCCACTCTTGAAAAAGAGAGAATTATAACATAGGTTCATAGCATAGAAGACATGAAATCTGGTTTTTGTATCTTCAGAATAAGATGCAGAATCCTTCTCTGGATTGATCTTCATTAATATTATCTATGCTGCAGTTCTATTGTGTTGCTAAGAGTAATGACTTTCATTTTATTCTAACTGGAATTTTTGTTTCTAGTAATGTAACACGATTCTGGAACTATACATGATCTCTGTCATGGAGTTGTTCATCCCTGTCTGAGGTAGGAACTCTGAGCTGGAAAGGTTAGTTTTGATACTGCTGTTAAATTCCTATTCGCTCTTTCTGTTTCTACTGGACAAGATAATTTGATCACTACATGCTGGAAGCAATTTGCTTCACTGCTCAGTAAAAGCAGCTATGTAGAGAAATGGTTTTGCAATTTTGTGAAAAGACTTAGAAGTGTGTGTGGGTTTAGAGGGATGGGAAAAGATGGAGTTCTCCAAAGTAGGCACATGCTTGTTAAGCCATAAGGCAGTTGCTTTTTGAAGATGTCATTACTGACTGCTTCTGGTAGAGCCTGCTGTCTGGACATGTTATTGTGAATTAGTGTGCTGGCTGTATCAAAAACCACTGCACTGGTTTTTTGCCTTTTTAAATATCCTTTGACATAATCTTGTGCAATTAGTATTTAGAAGTTACAGACATTGTTTAATGAAGAAAGATTAGCTCTGAGTACCACTGAATTTCATCAAAGTAAAGCAGCTTTATAATGCTCTTCTGCTCTTTGGGACACAATGACTGATGCCAAAAGATATTTCTGCTTTAAAAGTCATCCGTGCTGACAGATGACATTGCCAGAAATATAAATGACAAATAATGTTGTCAGTATTTGTGAAATTGTATTAGTATGATTGATTATGATAACTAGGTTTAAGATTCAGAAGTCCAAAAGAAGTGAAAGGGAGATAAATACGCTTGTCTTAATTTCCTTATTTTTGCAGAAGCTCACTGAATTTGAATATTCAGTTCTGGGTATCTATTCAGTGACATTTTTGTAATATGGATAAGATACTGTAAATCTTTACCTTGCTCTAAACCAGACACATTTATGGTCCTTAAATTACTGTCAGCACTCATTTGAAGAATTAGCAAAGAAATCAAAGTGAGACAACAGAAAGACTGTTTCTCTAGAAGCAGCTTATAACTCGATACCTCTAAGATTCAAATCCAGTATTATATGCTCTGCTGGCATAAAGAAAATGGAAAGAAAGAAGAAAACCTATGGACAGTTACATTTTCTTAAGACACTAATTCAGTCATTACAGAAATAACTATCTGGGAATGACAGGACCTTTCAGGTTTTGAGCTACTGAGAAAATCAAGACATTTGTTAATAAATCTATGCATCAGACAGAAAATATTGTACATTCTCTGCTGGTTTTCCCCTCCCCCAGCTGTTTGATGAGAAATAGGAAAAAGTAGAGAACAGGAGACTTAAACATACTTTTTATTACTTTTATTTTGTTATTATGTAAGTTAGAGCAGCTTCATGGGATATCACAGAATTGTGAGGCTTGGAAGGGGCCTCTTGAGATGAATAGAGATCTAGGAACTCTGTGTCTCTTTTTATTCACTTTGGCAATCGTGCCAATTCTGTTGGCAAATACAGAAATGTAGCATTTGGTGGAGAAAACGAGTATGTGTGAGTATGTATGGAGCTATTTATCTGAATGTGTAATGTTTTGACCTTATGATGATCTATGTATTTGTTCATCTCCCAGATCTGTTTCACAAGGATGATGAATATACACTCCACTTGTACCACGTGTTGCACTGAGTGGGCAGCATAGCCATTGTCTTCACGTTGACTGAGTTTGAGAATAGAAGAGCTGGTTCACTGTGCGGCAGCAAATCTTGTCCAGGCTAGGTGCTAGGTTTCTGTGCAGATGTGTTAGTGTTTACAGCTACAAAATGACTCAGTATCAAGTGTAAGAAACAATAGGGATTTCATTTTTAGTTCCCCCCAAAATCTCTCTCATTTTGTTGCTGAGCTCAATTTATGATATACAATCAGAGATGCAATCCCTTCAACAGTACAATTGTATTGCTTGGAAAATCAGCTGGCACAGTTTTTTCTAGTGATTCATTACACTGCTTGGTGTCATTACTGGTCTGTGCTCCAAAAACTTCACATACAAATGCAGTACTCTGTCGGTCATTAACCATCACTTGACAATAGTCTGACTCCATTTATTCTATGGTGGATGCTTTGAGACTTTTTGGTTGTGATTTTTTTGGTTTTGGGATGGGACACCAAGAACTGTCAAGTTCTTAGATGTTTCTATCTGGTCTATGTTTTATCTATACATGTTAATACATTCGATCAGTAATTTAATTGGCTTTGAAGGTGCCTTAATATTGTGGGAAACAATGCTGGCACTCTAAGCACAAGTAGGCTAAACTATGATTTTTGTACTAGTTGAAGACTTCACAGTGGTTGTGGCACAGTTGTAGTGCCAGCTTCCTTTTGTGGAAGTTGCAGCTGAGGAATTGGAGAAGTGAAATTTGGAGGCAGTCTGAAGCAATGCTAAAGAGCAATTACAGTAATCAGTTTCCCAAAAGAAGTACTAATGTTGTGCTGTTTCTTGAACAATAAGTAGAAGCTAATGTGTTACTGAGTTCCTGTTGAAGTAAGTATGCAGATGTCTGAGCAAAACAACTGGTAATGGATCAAAAGCCGTCTAAGAAAGTCACCTGATGGGCAAAATTAATTTCTTATTACAAAAGACTTTCCTTTTTAATGATGTTGTTTCTGCCTTTTGAGTGATTATTCAACCCTTATATTAATATTATTAATATAATATTAATATTTTTATTCTTACAGGTCATTTGATTCACATCTTTCTGAATCCTATTGGTTTCCAGTTCAGGCTCATCCTGTTGTGGTATGACTGGAATCCATTCTTCATTAATAAATCTGTCCCTCTGTGTCTTTTCTGGGTTTTCATCAATTAGAGGTTGGTCTATGAAGTACAATATAACGCACTGGTGAATGAATGCTATGAACTCCTCTATGTATTGCATCCTCTGAGTATATGAATTAGAATGAAGTCTTTGGCAAGTTAAAGTTATAGCAGAATCTGCATTTGGTAGTAGAGATGGTTGCTCAGTTTCTCATATTTTTGGCCAGCAGTTTGTTCTGGCAGCAAGAGATTGACAGTCTTTGAATTCTAAGAAGGAGAGTTCCAACTTTTCTAGGTTTATAGAACGCTATAGGTCAGATTGGACTTCTCAAGACTTACTGGCCTTATCAAACTCTACTGCTTGGTGCTACAAAAATGTGGTTTCTCAGTTTCAGCCACAGATTAATCAGAAATTGTTTTGTTTTTCTTTAAAAAGACTCATGTTCTACCTATTGGTTTTGCTTGTTTGGTTGATTTTGGTTTATTACTTACAAAGTCTGCTGCTTTTGTGTGGGAACATGCTGAAGAAAGAGTTGGTAAGTGATAGCTCAAGAGATTTTAAGACTCAGCCGATTGGCTCCTCTTTCCCACAAGAGGGAGCTCGATAGTCACTGTTAGTACTACTTGCGATTCGACTGAGAAGGGCTTTGCAATCTCTTGAAGGCCGGCAGAGGGTATGTGCTGGGCACTCTCCCTGTAGCTTAGGCTACTCATCACAGGATTCTCGCTCTCAAATCACAGATGTGTGTTTACGACCATAGTCTTAATGAAATTTTGTCTCCTATGAAAATAATACTCTGTTGAATGCATAAAGCATTCAACAAAAAATCAGAGATCCCTTTGATTCCAACTGGAATTTCTGACGTTGTAGAATCTCAACAGATAAAGAGGGTACAGCTGTTTTACGTTCAAACTGGCACTAAGGCAAACAAATAGCAGACAATATCCATGGTGAAAAGCCAATTAATTTTATTTCTGTGAAAAACTAAGTTTTCTTGAAAGATTTATTGAGGTATTTCCTAAACATACAGATTTTATTATGAATTAGATTATAATCTGTTTTCAGTATAGGTCAGCCAATGCCTCTTATGTGTTAAAAGCTGAGGAATCAAGTGCAGGAGAAGAGATTAAAACCAGAAAACAAAACCCAAGAGGGATGAACCCAAGACTGAATATATGATGAGCCATTTGTGATAGGTCTGAAAACACCCAGAAGTATTTTGTTTGGCATATAAAAAAGCATGAAGAGAAAAACTGATTGATGGGTTCTGAAACATTACATCTCTCAAAGGTAAGACAACTGCTCATGTGGGCTTCTGCTTTTCATTCTTACGGGATTTTATTTGTTCTTGCTGGGGCTATGCCCCACCTTCCTTTTTTGTAACACATTCCAGATAAGATATACTTCACCATAGACATGAAAGAAGCAAGTTTATGGGGGATATGAGGTGTATATAGCGCACTGTCTACTATCATCCAAACAGGGAGATGGAACTTAAGGTGTAATTGTTACCACTTTTTCAGAGGTTGAATTAGTACATGGAAAGGATGAAGGGCTCTACTGTCATTTCAGGAGTGATACTCAGCAGGCAGACTTAAGTAACTTGCCACCCTTCAGCCAGAGCTGAGGTGTAGGACTCACATCTCATTTATGGGACAAATTATTTGGGCTAGGATAATATACTGGGCAAAAGTGAGAAAATGCCTGAAAAAAGGCACGAAACAGCCTGCACTGTTGATATCATGGTGATTTTGGAGTACCAGTTGCCCATCTCAGACAT